AAAAAAAATAGTGAGTTTGATCCTTGTCCTAATGATCGACAAACTGCATTAGCAGCAAGTTGATCAAAACCATTTTGACAAACATGTCCATCAACATAAAAATAATCTCGTTTGTCTGAGCTTTGATTTTCAAGTTGAACTTTGGCACGGATACGTAATGGAAGTAATTCTTGAACTGTAATATCGACGATAGAACGAGCTGAAGCGAATAGACTAAACATATTATGACATGTTTGTTGCCATGGTAACATTGCTCTTGATGATGTATTATTGGTTTCAGTACCTTTGAGTGCTTGTAGAATTTCTTCACCAATCGATGAAGCAACTGTTTGAGAGCTAATCAAAGCAAGGATTGTGAAAGTGCAGAGAATGAATTGCATGATTATTGTTTGAGAAGACTGAACTAAAATAATGAGGAAGAAATATATTTGAGATCAGCACTAGATTCAAAGGTGAGGAGTATGATTTGAGGTTCATACAAGACTATTTGCTTACTTGAAATTTTCACAATAATTGTTGTGATTGCTGTATTTGTCTCTTATAATACTTATACCAATGCTATGTACTATCAACTATTCGATTCTACTGTATATATACTTTTTCAAGCTACCACAGAAACCACTAATCTCTCTTATCAGTTCCGCTTTTTTATTTTTATCGTCATAAAAAGATTTCTCGCATTGCAAATAACAGATCAGAGAAAAATATTTGACAAGTGACCGAACAAGTTTCTTATCTTTGAAGCAAACGCTTGACTAAGAAAACAGAAGCTAGTACTGAGTCAGTGCCATGTGATAACTTTCACATAAGAGCTAAAGCATAGTGTAGTCATACTTATCAGTTCCGTTTTTTATTTTTGGCTATGAAATTTTCTTTTGAGAAAAATGTCATAATCAAAAAAAGAAAGATGAAGTTATCGACGAAATCAAATATTTTCATGTGCGATTCGTTGAAGCTATGGGTATAGTTGTGGACACGGATGTTTGATCGATTACCATCTTCACAGTCGCCCTCAAAACATGTTTATATAGATAACGATTATGACCGGTAGTTTCAATCTTCGAATTAATAATAATTTCTATACAAATAAAATATTTCAACTTAATATTTGAATGAATATAAAAGAAAATTGATTAGAATAATAATAACAATGATAATCTATGGATGAAATAAACTTCAGTTGATTTCTTTTATCATGAGTTTAAAAATAATTTGTTTTGCAGAAAGAGTTTTGATTTCCTTAAGTGCTCAGAAAATGTTTCCATAACTATTGATAACCAACAAAGATATGCTAGCTTTATTATCAAAAAGATGTACTTTTTTCTTATCTTTCGCTTTATAAGAGCAAATAATTGTTTTATTAGTTTGAAAGATTTTTCCAAAATTATTCGAATATTTTCAGCAAGGATGAACAAATTGATTTCTATATTAGGACTCATAGGATATCATGCGGAATCAACAGAA